ACAAAATTGGTCGCATTCAGAGGTAATCGTTACGCGGGGGTCCACTGTAATTTGTATTATTATAAACCTCAGTACCCAACAAGCAACTCTGAAAACAATTATTTAGTTGTTTTCTACGAGGGTTTCAATGCCACACCTCAAACATTTATTTAATGTATATATATTTCCTTTCGATTTGTTTCTGGTGTCCGAATGTGGGCGAATAAATCAGTAGATAATAACGTTCCTTTCAAGGATACAGCACTCACTGGCTCGTTAACTCTAAATGGACCATCAGACACACCGGATAACATTAACATGCACATACCTTGTGTTTAACGTGACTTTCCGCGTATATCACCAGTGATGGTATCCCTCCTGAGCACACAACTAATGTGACAAGCGAGAAGTGTGCGTCTGTCAGTATATATATACCCTGACAGCTGACTGTAATCTCTGGTGGTGAACAGGTGACATCAAGCCTTAATGACCCTCTGATAATCAGTAGGCTTTAAACTCAATTAACCATTCTGAGTACAATCTATGGAAAAAACTGAATAAAAGGCTTGTAACAGAAATAATCAGCATTATTTGAGTTTATTAGGTTTCCCTAGTTAAAACTACAAGCTGTATTACAGGTTTATCCTGATTTTGCCATCGAAAAATCAGGATAAACCATCCTGCCCAAGGTTATTTGATGTAATTATTACGTACCTAAGCCCACGGCTTCCTTGTATCTTCAGAATCATTACACACACACACACACACACACACACACACACACACACACACACACACACACACACACACACACACACACACACACATGCTGCTATCTATAAAACCATTTGGAGATTTTCCTAAACTAAGATGGGTTTGGGCAGCGAGTGCTTAACCACCTAGCAGGTCATTATTTAATTACACACCATGCCAGGATTATTATTATTATTATAATCAAGGGGAAGCGCTAAACCCGGAGGATTATACAGCGCCTAGGGGGGGATGTGGAAGACATTCAGGCTTAATTCGGGGAACTGGAGCACAGATCCAATTCCCTAAATCAAGAGCCCCTCACCAACATCAAGGAACCTTCCTTGAGGGGTTAATTGGGGGAACTGGAGCACAGATCCAATTCCCTAAATCAAGAGCCCCTCACCAACATCAAGGAACCTTCCTTGAGGGGTTAATTGGGGGAACTGGAGCACAGATCCAATTCCCTAAATCAAGAGCCCCTCACCAACATCAAGGAACCTTCCTTGAGGGGTTAATTGGGGGAACTGGAGCACAGATCCAATTCCCTAAATCAAGAGCCCCTCACCAACATCAAGAAACCTTCCTTGAGGGGACCATGCCAGGAGAGTGTTGTCTCCTGACGAACAAAATGCCACTACCCTTAGTTATTCTCAAAATGTTATGGTTACTGAAGGCTAAATCTAATGATGATGAGTTAGACACATGTACAGCCCTTATGTATCTTTACTATACAAACATTCAACAATAAAGTTACCTAATTTTTGCACATGTGTCTTGATATCTACATACACAGGTAACCCGGACATAGGAGAGGGAAACGTTTACGACGACGTCTCGGTCCAATTTGGACCATTTACAAAATCACATTGTGACTTTGTAAATAGACCCAAGTCGGACCGAAACGTCGTCGTAAGCTCTCCTTTCTCCTATGTGCGGGTTATTTGTGTATTGTTACAGTCACGGTAGTATGATTTTCTGTTCTATACGTAGCCTGGTGGCTAAAATCCTCACTTCACACGGCGAGGGTCTGCGTTCGATTCCCAGCGCGGGTAGAAACATTGGGCGTGTTTATTTCCACCGGTTGTCTATGTTCACCCATCAGTAAAATGGGTACCTGGGAGTTAGTGGACTGGTGTGGGTCGCATCCTGGGACAAAACTGACCTAATTTACCCGAAATACTCCGCATAACAAGCGGCTTTCTATATAGTAGTATGTCATTGATGTCAGCTATGGTCTGTATACCTTGTACATGTACGTTTAGTAATAAAAATATTAACGTACGTCTGCTGTATTGCAGGTCAGGTTAGGTTAGGTTAGGTTAGGTTAGGTTAGGTTAGGTTAGGTTAGGTAAGGTTAGGTTAGGTTAGGTTAGGTTAGGTTAGGTTAGGTTAGGTTAGGTTCGTCAGGAAACAGGACAAATTTTTCCTGACGCGGGTCTTTGTCAGATGATAACCCGCCTTTGGAGCTTTGGTCATCTGACCGAGGCCTTCCGCTGGCTTACCGGTCCACCCCTTTAAAAAATTATGGTCAGCTATAACTATGTACGTTTTTTTAATGCCATATTGCAGATATTTATGATACTGCCTGTTTAATCTTTGTAGATATTGTGAGTAAAGTTTATCTATCTCTTCGTTCCTGGTTAACGAAGATTAGTGTCAGCCCACACATCTAACACCTGTGTCAGGCCACACATCTAACACCTGTGTCAGGCCACACATCTAACACCTGTGTCAGGCCACACATCTAACACCTGTGTCAGGCCACACATCTAACACCTGTGTCAGGCCACACATCTAACACCTGTATCAGGCCACACATCTAACACCTGTGTCAGGCCACACATCTAACACCTGTGTCAGGCCACACATCTAACATCTGTGTCAGGCCACACATCTAACACCTGTGTCAGGCCACACATCTAACACCTGTGTCAGGCCACACATCTAACACCTGTGTCAGGCCACACATCTAACACCTGTGTCAGGCCACACATCTAACACCTGTGTCAGGCCACACATCTAACACCTGTGTCAGGCCACACATCTAACACTTGTGTCAGGCCACACATCTAACACCTGTGTCAGGCCACACACCTATCTAACACCTGTGTTTTGGGGCCAATAAAAGCACTTTGGTGTTCGTTTTCCTTGTAGACTTCTGGGTCAGCTCGTGCTGTCTGTATTTGTCTGGATGTTCGTCTGTCTGTGTGGTCATCTTACCGTGTGTTTGTTAATATTTATCTGTCAGAAAGTCTGTATAGTTGCATGTGGCTGTGTGTCTATGTCTTGGTGTATGTCTGTGTTTGTCTAAGCGTGTGTTTGTCTTTCTATGCCTGGCTGGTTGTGTGTCTACTCTCAGCCACACATGGAAAGTCCAGAATTAATTACAGAACCACTTACACAGTAACATACATACATACATATATACATACATACAGACAGACAGGCAGACAGACAGACAGCCAGTCAGCCAGAAAGCCAGCAAGAGTCTTTAGAAGGGCAATCACACTAGCAGCGAGGGTTGGTTCAACTCACTTGTACCTCTTATATAAGGTGTAATCAACTAACCACAAACGAGGCTCGTTACTAGCGTTACTTGGGCTGGAGAGGTGCTGTACTCACCTAGTTGTACTCAACTGCTTGTACTCACCTAGTTATGCACGTCTGTTTGTAGTCCCTTAGTTCTACTCACCTGTTTGTTCTCCCTTAGTTGTACTAGCTCGGTTGGCAGCGTATTTAGTTCACACACTGAGGTCCGTGGTTCGATCCCCGGTACAGGTTGAAATATTGGGCGTGTTTCCTTAAGACACCTGCTGTCCCTGTTCATCTAGCAGTAAATAGGTACTTGGGTATAAGTCGACAGGTGTGGGCAGCATCCTGGGGACAAAAGTAACCTAATATGCCTGAAATGCTCTATATAACCAGGGTCTTTCTATGTAGTATGTCACTGATGTCAGCTATGGTCTGTATACGTTGCACTTCTAGAAATAAAGATTACTATTATTATTTTAATTATTATTATTATTATTATTATTATTATTATTATTATTATTATTATTATTATTATTATTATTATTATTATTATTATTATTATTATTATTTGTTCAAACCCATTTAGTTTCATTTACAAGGGATGAATCACATCTTCTGACCCAGATGACTGGTAATCTGGTTTGATCTGAAGGGAGGTTAACATTAATGCCTTGGATCGAGAGCCCTTCACCAGCGTCCCTCAGTGTTTACTTTAGGTCCCAAAATAGTCAATGTAAGGGGGAAGACTAGTAAAAAATTTTCTGTCGGGATCAGATCTATCAAAATTAACGGTAATCGTGACAAGTGTATGGAAATATAAAATTAACAGTGTTACAGAATCAGTTATGTCATTTGTAAGGATTCTGTATGAAGGATATATAAATAACAAAGTGGAAAAAAATAATGCAGATTGTAGTTTTGGGGTCATCTTTGGCTATAATAATAATAATGATGAATGTTATGTCATCTCGTGTAATCTTACTTAACATAGTAACATGGGATATAATGGCTCTGGTGGCCTGGTGGTTAACGCTCTGGCTTCACACGGTGAGGGCCTGGGTTCGATTCCCAGCCAGAGTAGAAACATTGGACGTGTTTCTTTCCACCTGTTGTCTATGTTCCCCATCAGTAAAATGGGTACCTGGGTGTTAGTCGACTGGTGTGGGTCGCATCCTGGGACACTGACCTAAGGAGGCCTGGTCACAGACCGGGCCGCGGGGGCGTTGACCCCCGGAACTCTCTCCAGGTATCTCCAGGTATAGGGGATGAGGGACAGTTTGTGACAACACAACGTTAATCGTCTGTGTTCATTTAGACAATGAAATTTATAATTTTGTGTAAGAACTGATACTGTGTTCTTTTATCTATTTAATGTATTGTGTTGTTTTAAATAAAATAAAAAAAATAGTCAATATATGTGTTATGACACAGGAGAGTTATTACATGTACCGTGACGTATGACGGACGTGTTCCTGACGTATGATTGAAGTGTTCTTGACATATGAATGACGTGTTCTTGACGTATGATTGACATATTCCTGACGTATAATTGACGTATTCCTGACTTATGATTGACGTGTTACTGACGTATGATTGACATGTTACTGACGTATGATTGACATGTTACTGACGTATGATTGACATGTTACTGACGTATGATTGACATGTTACTGACGTATGATTGAAGTGTTCCCGACATCTAATTTACAAATTTCTGATTTTTTGACGTGTTTCAGGGAGGAGCTGGCGATGAAAATAGGCCTAACAGAAGCAAGAATTCAGGTCTGGTTTCAAAACCGACGAGCCAAATGGAGGAAACAGGAGAAAGGTAAACTTCCATTCACCCTATACCCTTAATAAATGGAAAGGGAAGGGGGGGGGGGCATACAGAGCCTGGGGAATGGGAGATCATAAAGTTAAATCAAAGGGATAAAAACGGAAATCTATTTCCTTGAATCAAGAACTCTTCCCTGGCATCAAGGCACTCACTACCTTCTACCTTGAAGAATCCATGGAGAAATATTCTTAGAATACTTCTGAGGGATAATATTTATTTTTTTTAATGTCTGGTCATGTTAGGGTTAGATTAGATTAGGTTAAGTTAGCCTGGGACCACGTTAGGTTAAACAAGGTTAGGTTAACCTAAGTTCGGATCACGTTAGGTTAAACAAGGCTAGGTTAGGCTAGGTTGGGATCACGTTAGGTTAGGTTAGGTTAGATTAGGTTAGATAAGGTCAGGTTAAGTTAGCTTGGGACCACGTTAGGTTAAATAAAGTTAGGTTAACCTAATTGGGATCACGTTAGGTTAGGTTAAACAAGGTTAGGTTAAGCTAGGTTGGGATCACGTTAGGTTAGGTTAGGTTAGATTAGGTTAGATAAGGTCAGGTTAAGTTAGCTTGGGACCACGTTAGGTTAAATAAAGTTAGGTTAACCTAATTGGGATCACGTTAGGTTAGGTTAAACAAGGTTAGGTTAAGTTAGCTTGGGACCACGTTAGGTTAAATAAGGTGAGGTTAACCTAAGTTGGGATCACGTTAGGTTAGGTTAAACAAGGCTAGGTTAAGCTAGGTTGGGATCACGTTAGGTTAGGTTAAACAAGGCTAGGTTAAGCTAGGTTGGGATCACGTTAGGTTAGGTTAAACAAGGCTAGGTTAAGCTAGGTTGGGTAGATTATAACTCATTTCGTTGTTGTTAGCTTCTGAAATGAGCCACTTGACCTAACTTACTGTATAAAAAAAGTTTCTAACAAATGTAAGTGTGTTACGCTTAGACGTTTGTGCTAGAAATATCTAGGAATATATTCCAAGTGATGCATTTCTCTCAGGGAATATATACTGGGAATTTATTTCATCCCCTATTTAAGGATATAAGGTGTTCTTGTCAGGTAGTGCAGACTTAATGACCCTAGTGTAATCGATAGGTTATAAATCCCATTAACAATAAGGGTTAGTTAGGGACTGATAAGGATTAGTTAGGCAGTGATAAGGGTTAGCTAGGCAGTGATAAGGGTTAGCTAGGCAGTGATAAAGGTTAGCTAGGCAGTGATAAGGGTTAGTTAGGCAGTCTAACATCTTTATTATGCACCCCATACCCATCCTGTGGGCAGTAGTCAAAGGATGGTACTTAATGGGTCCAGGGACTGGGCTGCAAAGTTTTGATAGCTGAACAAGTTACAGTGGTAATGAACAAGTTACAGTGGTAATGAACAAGTTACAGTGGTAATGAACAAGTTACAGTGGTAATGAACAAGTTACAGTGGTAATGAACAAGTTACAGTGGTAATGAACTGTTTACCTGTTTACATCCGGTCACAATGAGTTATTTATACAGACATTAATTTCCTCAAAAGGGCCACCGCTTATATACGTTTTAGGATTCAGTTGTTCCAGGGTCAAATTAGGGTCGGTGTTGGTCCTGGCGCTCACAGTCGTTAGTCCCTAGATAGATATGTAGATAAATATTTGATTCAAAAAAATAAAAAATATATAGGGAGGTACTCACTCCTGTGATATACGGTGACCCTCGTCCTCACAGATAAGAATAAACTCAATTCATTGAAAAATGATGGGATTTCCTTCCCGAACTGAGTGTTTTTTTCGTGTATTCTAATAAATATGTATGTATATATGTATTTTTTACATTTTTTGATGCATTCTTATAATAAAAAAAAATTCTGAAGTAAATCATTTAAATTACAACAAACTAGAAGATTGAATTAGCATTTTTCTTTTCAAATTTTTGACTCGACTAAAATTTGGACACAGCAGTAAATAATCAAGGCCAGTAAATAATCAAGGCCAGTAAATAATCAAGGCCAGTAAATAATCAAGGCCAGTAAATAATCAAGGCCAGTAAATAATCAAGGCCAGTAAATAATCAAGACCAGTAAATAATCAAGACCAGTAAATAATCAAGGCCAGTAAATAATCAAGGCCAGTAAATAATCAAGGCCAGTAAATAATCAAGACCAGTAAATAATCAAGGCCAGTAAATAATCAAGGCCAGTAAATAATCAAGGCCAGTAAATAATCAAGGCCAGTAAATAATCAAGGCCAGTAAATAATCAAGGCCAGTAAATAATCAAGGCCAGTAAATCAAGACCAGTAAATAATCAAGACCAGTAAATAATCAAGGCCAGTAAATAATCAAGACCAGTAAATAATCAAGACCAGTAAATAATCAAGGCCAGTAAATAATCAAGACCAGTAAATAATCAAGGCCAGTAAATAATCAAGGCAGTAAATAATCAAGAACTGTAGAACTGTTGAAGAATTACTATTAAACTGTTCTATTGCCTTTATCCATAAGTTTCTTTATCGATAATTGTCCATTGCTGTCCCGTAGCTCGATAGCGCACTCTGCTCACACACTGAGGTCCGTGGTTCGATCCCCGGTACGGGTGGGAACAATAGGACGTGTTTCCTTAAGACACCTGCTGCCCTTGTTCACCTAGCAGTAAAGTAGGTACCTGGGTGTTAGTCGACTGGTGTGGGTCGCATCCTGGGGACAATAATTGACCTAATTTGCCCGAAATGCTCTGAATAGTAAGGGCCTTTCTATATAGTATGTCACTGATGTCAGCTATGGTCTGTATAAGTTGTACCATGTTCTTGTAGACATTATGACTATTATTATTATAAGAGTCTTTATCCATAAGCTTCTTTATAATAATAATAATAATAATAATAATAATAATAATAATAATAATAATAATAATAATAATAATAATAATAATAATAATAATAATATCTTTATTTACTACCAATACATGTACAAGGTATACAGACCATAGCTGACATCAATGACATACTATTATATAGAAAGCCACTTGTTATGCAGAGCATCTCCCGCAAATTAGGTCAGTTTTGTCCCAGGATGCGACCCACACCAGTCGACTAACACCCAGGTACCTATTTTACCGATGGGGAACATAGACAACCGGTGTAAGGAAACACGCCCAATGTTTCTACCCTCGTCGGGAATCGAACCCCTACCCTCGTCGTGTGAAGCGAGAGCTTCAGCCACCAGACCACCTGCCATAAGTGTCTTTTTATCTACAGAATCTTGTGGATATCACTTTAGGTTTTGCAACTCAACGCTCACTGCCCCGTAGGTCTGACTGGCGCCAGTGGTGGTGTGTCATCCTCCTCATCACCCTACTCATCACTTGCCAGCAAACTGACCGCTTTCTCTAGCTACCAGCGTCCCCCACGGTCAACCCACGATCAATCTGGCTTCCCGTCTCTCCTCTACTCCCACGCTTCCTCCTCCTCCTCTTCCTCTTCCATCTCTCCTTCCACGTCTTCGTCGGGACAATCTGTGTTCCCACCTCTGCTGCCGTTGGTGAGGGATCCGCGTACTACTGCTGCCTACAGGTAAGATATTCTCCAGATAATAACGTTTGATCTGACGAAGGGAAGTGGTAACTCCAGTTCCTTGAATAAAGAGAACTTTGCCAGCATTTAGGCACCCCCTTAAAGGGCCTAAGAAAATCATATCTATTGACGTTATCAACTTAATAATAATAATAATAATAATAATAATAATAATAATAATAATAATAATAATAATAATAATTAAAAATATACATACGTACATTGTAATGAAGAAAATATCACAGTGAAATTAGGAAATAAACCTGAGCGATTTCGTGTGCTTATAAACATATTCCCTGAAGATGTCTGTAAGCACATGAAAGTGCTTAGATTCTATATCTTATTTACACTGTGGCATTTTTTCATATTAGCAATCATACTTTTAATTGTGATTTCTGCCATACGTTGAAATACATTAGCTTCGAACCTATGAACTAAGACAACAGAGACAAGATTATACACAAGTACCCGACGACATTCCGGGTTATATTAATATTTTGACAGTGCCTGGGTCTCTGTAGTCTCGTATGTATAATATTCACCAAGACCGGGATCCTGGCACGGGTCTTAATCTTCCGATGACTCGCCTCTGGCTCCTGAAGGAGCGTTTGTAGCCTCTCGTTAATAGTATAAAACGAAATGTTACAGATTACTCACGTTTTCCTCCTTGTCCTCCACAGGTACCCACTCCTCAATCACCTGAGTAACCCACTTCTCTACCCACCCTCCTTTCACGCCCTCCTCGCCCAGCTCTCCGCCCACCACAAGGCTGAGTCCGCCCTGGAGCCTAGCCACAACACTGCTGAATCTGACAGAGAATCTGCTCATGAATCCTCCAAGCACAAAGCCGAGATGGCCAACGACTCCCCAAGAGAAGATGATCCCTTCAACTTCGATCCTCGTGATGTTCCGGAGGACCGGATACCTTTGAGGACGCACAAGGAAGCGTCCTCACCGAATCCTGACCAAGAGACTGGAGACGGAGGCGTGGATGAAGTAAAGAATAAAGACGAAAGAACGAACGAAGAGAGGACAAGTCCAGGAAGGAGCCTTGGAGTGAAGCGGGTGAGTTCCGCTTCCCCTGAACCGCCTAGATCACTAGATGTCAAGGGTTTGGCCACGCTGCGGGCCCTAGAGCAGTACCGAGGGACCTTAGACCTACACGCCCTGGAGGAATACCGAAGAGCCTTGGAGATGCGCAGCCTGGAGGCTCGCGCTGCGCAGATAAATGCCCAAGCACATCTAGAGGCTCCTCACCTCTCCAGAAGGTCAACACCTTCACCGGATCCCGTCCCATCTACGCACACGCCTCCAGAATCACCCTCCCTCAACGAAGAATCCCTCACTATCAAACGGCCGGAGTACAACATAGATTCTCTATTGAAGAAGGAGACATGAGGTCACCTCGTGTTTAAATTTTGATAGCATTTCCCACAATAAATTAAAAAAAAGACATGCGAGGAACAAATATGACATGTGTAGCAGCCATGTTTCATTCTCCAGAAGCTTTGCAAAGCCAATACAAGCAGTACAAGAACACAGAGAGCGAAACGAGGCTGTAAGAAACGTCTCATTAGTTGCTCAAGTATCCTTTTTAACGAACAGGCTCTTTCAGCATTGCATTAATGATATACAATACTAACAAGTTGATAAATAAGACGTAAGTGCAACACCTGGGTATCTTTTAAATGAATATGTCTCTAATCAGCTGCTGTTTCAGTCTAATACAATATTCCGTCTTTGTACTGGAATGAAAAACATTGATTAGGAAAACGTCTCCATCAATAAAGTGTAAGTGTGACGCAGTGTATGGTTTCTCGTCCCGGCTAAAACTTCGAATCTCCATCAATAAAGATAGCCAACTGTTACACATGTGTCTTGTTCAACAGGTCTACTCATGATGATACTTTTAAACTACCTCCGCGTCCACGCTATTGTAATATTTATCTATTCGCAAACGTTGGATTTAATATTAGATTAAACAAATCGTGAGGTTGGCTGATCTATGAGTCCGGCCTCAGACTAGGCTTCAAGAAGTCGTCTTTCATAGCAACGTCCATTTAAGACATGGCCTCCAAGGAGACGTCCTCCAGTTAGACAGCCATCGAGAAGACGTCCTCTAAGATGTTTTTCAAGAAGACGTCCTTCAAGGAGACAGGCTTCAAAGTGACATCCTTCAAGAAGACGCAATTCAAGAAGAACATCTTCCCTTCTTACCTACAACACATAGTACAGCCCACCACTAAAACCATTAAACATAAACCTTTATCAAACATTCTTTTGTTACGAATGATAATCATTCATAATATTTATCATCATCGTAAGTTAGAACAAACTATGATTATTGAATAGTCTTTCTGTTCTACTGTAAATATTGAAGAAAAAACGTGCTGAAAGAACCACCATTGGGACAACGTTTCTCTCTGAACCTGACAAAACTTTACGAAGAAAGAAACATTGTCGCAGTACAGACTTGGTGTACTATTGTCGATAGTACACCATTTTGATTTAGTGTAAATACGGTTCGATAAGACCGCTTCAGTATGGGAAAGTAGAGGAGTCTTAGCTTCCCTTGAGACGGGTCGTCGCTACCTTGAGAGGGGTCGTCACCACCTTAGAGAGGGCTAGCTGCCCCCTCTTCGAGAAAATATCTCCACAACTTTGATATAAACTTGAGAATCTATAAGATAATCCTTCACTTCAAACTTTAAATCACTTGAAATCTATGACAGGCTTTCAAAAAGAGAGAAACTAAGACAGAAGTTAGAAATTTGACTCTTTCAGCACTTCTAACATTATTAAGCAGACCCAAGTTAGCTTTATGTTAGCTAAGACTTTAGTTTACACCATAATTTATCTAAGATCCCTGCAGCCTACACAATAGACTAGCATACACACTACAGTGGTACAGTGGTACCCTCAGATATTCCTATGCACCCTACTGTCCTATGTTGTACTTGTGTATGTATCCCTGTTTCTCGTGTATTTTCTACTAACTTGATTAAACCCACTGTGTGGGCGAAACGTTTTTGTTAATAAAGGTATCCACAACATCTAAGTGTCATTTCGTCCACCTTGTAGTTAAGTGTTTGTTGATATACGCATTTTGAGTCTAGTGATTTTTTTGTTTTTACATTTTTACAGGAGATTGTTGTCGCCACAGTGATTTAAGAATTAACAGATACATTTCTGGAACTTCAACTTCTCCGGTTTTCTGATTCATTACCGTAGCTAGAATTTTAAGCTTAGGAGCAGCTTAAAATTCATAAGATGCTGGGAAAAAAAAATCACAGAAAACATCTTGAAAAACATAATTTTTAGTATGTATGTGAAATTTCTTAAAGTGTCGTACTTGTTCTTAAAATATCGCACTTTTTGTGGTCACAGGATAATATAATACAGTGAAAATTAGCAATTAATTGAAAAAAATTGCATCGGGGGCTTTAGTCCCCCTTAGCTCCCCGTGACTTATTCACTGTTTTTTTTTTTTTTTTACAATTTTTGGAATTGGCCTTATATGCTCGAGTAAATTACGAAGTCGCATAGTTCAGTATAGAAAATATAATTCTTGAACAATACAGGGTGTTTCAGAAAGATGAACCCGATTTGAAATATATCCTGGTCGGAAATCGGGTCCAACATTTGGAACACTCTGTACATTACACAAATGTGTACCAGAAAACGTTGCTCACCTCAGAGACTGCATTAATATGTATTATGTACAGTGTTATTATATATGTCATAGTGTTTATCTTATGATGTTTATACCATGAAGTCTGTTACATACTGTTGTACACACATAGCACTTGCGTTCGTTTATTTATGCAACAGATATACAGAGAAGTTAGAAATGTTCCAAAGATTTGTGCATAATAATATATTCCTAGTGTATACGATGTAGTGAATAAACTCCCGAGTAAACTGTTGATTTATTTTGTTGATTCAGAACCTTTGAGTTTATTTTTTATCAAGAAGAATTGGTTTATAAGCAAGCAGTGTGCTGCTACTCTGTTCTTTGTGAGAGATATGGTCTGGAAATACACACAGGTGAATTTATGTTATTCTGGATAAGAGTTACATTGTGGGAACACTCATACAGGTGTAGCTATTTTTTTTATAAGATAGTTACATTGTGGGAACACACACAAGTGTGGCTACCATGTCTTGTATGATAGTTACATTGTGGGAACACACACAAGTGTAGCTACCATGTCTTGTATGATAGTTACATTGTGGGAACACACACAAGTGTTGCTACCATGTCTTGTATGATAGTTACATTGTGGGAACACACACAAGTGTGTCTATCATGTCTTGTATGATAGTTACATTGTGGGAACACACACAAGTGTGGCTACCATGTCTTGTATGATAGTTACATTGTGGGAACACACACAAGTGTGGCTACCATGTCTTGTATGATAGTTACATTGTGGGAACACACACAAGTGTGGCTACCATGTCTTGTATGATAGTTACATTGTGGTAACACACACAAGTGTGGCTACCATGTCTTGTATGATAGTTACATTGTGGGAACACACACAAGTGTGGCTACCATGTCTTGTATGATAGTTACATTGTGGGAACACACACAAGTGTGTCTACCATGTCTTGTATGATAGTTACATTGTGGGAACACACACAAGTGTGGCTACCATGTCTTGTATGATAGTTACATTGTGGGAACACACACAAGTGTGGCTACCATGTCTTGTATGATAGTTACATTGTGGGAACACACACAAGTGTGTCTACCATGTCTTGTATGATAGTTACATTGTGGGAACACACACAAGTGTGGCTACCATGTCTTGTATGATAGTTACATTGTGGTAACACACACAAGTGTGGCTACCATGTCTTGTATGATAGTTACATTGTGGGAACACACACAAGTGTGGCTACCATGTCTTGTATGATAGTTACATTGTGGGAACACACACAAGTGTGGCTACCATGTCTTGTATGATAGTTACATTGTGGGAACACACACAAGTGTGTCTACCATGTCTTATATGATAGTTACATTGTGGGAACACACACAAGTGTGGCTACCATGTCTTGTATGATAGTTACATTGTGGGAACATACACAAGTGTGGCTACCATGTCTTGTATGATAGTTAAATTGTGGGAACACACACAAGTGTGGCTACCATGTCTTGTATGATAGTTACATTGTGGGAACATACACAAGTGTGGCTACCATGTCTTGTATGATAGTTAAATTGTGGGAACACACACAAGTGTGGCTACCATGTCTTGTATGATAGTTACATTGTGGGAACATACACAAGTGTGGCTACCATGTCTTGTATGATAGTTACATTGTGGGAACACACACAAGTGTGGCTACCATGTCTTGTATGATAGTTAAATTGTGGGAACACACACAAGTGTGGCTACCATGTCTTGTATGATAGTTACATTGTGGGAACATACACAAGTGTGGCTACCATGTCTTGTATGATAGTTACATTGTGGGAACACACACAAGTGTGTCTACCATGTCTTGTATGATAGTTACATTGTGGGAACACACACAAGTGTGGCTACCATGTCTTGTATGATAGTTACATTGTGGGAACACACACAAGTGTGGCTACCATGTCTTGTATGATAGTTACATTGTGGGAACATACACAAGTGTGGCTACCATGTCTTGTATGATAGTTACATTGTGGGAACACACACAAGTGTGTCTATCATGTCTTGTATGATAGTTACATTGTGGGAACACACACAAGTGTTGCTACCATGTCTTGTATGATAGTTACATTGTGGGAACACACACGTGTGTCTATCATGTCTTGTATGACTGAGTAAACTGGGCATAGTTAAGCCAAGCTGTTTCACAAATTATTTATTTACTGTTTCATAAGTTGAATTGTTGAATTTATTTGTGCTAATCAAGTGAATTTTAATTTGTAAAGACTGCATTTTAATTGTGTGGTTTTCATTATAATTGGCATTTTAATGTGCGATTTGTGATTTTTACCATAGACTTGCTTAAGTTCCGTAACTATTTACTGACGTACAGGAAATTGCTAGGTTAAACTTTCGCATCGATATACCTTTCAGTTGGGGTTGAGAGGTTGCAGCGCACATTTTTATTCAGAGTAGAGTCAATTTAATAAAGGGAGTCATTAAGCTTGTCGAGGAGTCTTGAGACTCGTTCATTCTTGCCTAATACCGTTTCGTGCTGTGGGGTGGGCTAATTGAAGTACATATTAGTGCCGTGCTCTTAACTAAACCTCGACTATGTCGGGTGAAGATGACGTACCAGCTGTCTCATCTGTAAGACATCTAAAGCAGTCTATTGTAGCCTATAAGGGACGCCTAAACAAAGCACGTGAGGAGTGTCGTATTGCCAGGCAAGATCAGAATGTAGACTGTGAGGAACCAGAGAGCTGCCTGAAACCTTTGGAGGAAAGGCTGGAGGCCTTTGAGAAATCATTTATCCTTTATGAGACAGAAGCCTGTGCTGCAGGTAAGTCTAATGATACTGTGGAAAATTACATTTATCTGAATGTATCATTGTGTACATAACAGTAAATGAACAAAGATAATTATTATTTATCAGTTAGACAAGTAGGAATTTGGGACACCTAGGTCGCAAAAAATGTCCCCCTTCGATACCTACCACTGTCATATCCACAAGTTGCTCTGGACCTATTAATTACAAATGAAATATGTACCACCAGGAATGCTGGTAAATATATAAATTTATGGACTGTATATTAAAAGTAAAAAAAATAGTATGTATACACACATTTACATAACAGAAGAAGAATATCTTAAAATCACTCACCAATTTGACTGGAGATTAAGGTGTATCATACTCAGAAAACCTCACTGTCTATACATGAAATTAACACTGTCCACAGTTAAAACATCACAGACTTATCTGAGGCTCCTGGAGCTGCCTTGTCCAGTCGTCTGATATCCCAAGTTATGCAGGAATGCACATTCAACAATTTCGTCTCCTATTTGAGAGGTGTCAGCCCAATTTTAACCTCTAGAGCACGAAAAATTCTTCTCATTATTCACTAACATGTGTGCAATTCAAATAACAATGACGAGTGTCTTCTGCGCAGGCGCAGCTTCTTCCCATTTTCAATAACATAATTTTTAATTATATGCAATATAGGCCATCTATTCACCTTTAAATTACTGTATTTCCGGAAAATATACAGTATTTTCCACAGATACTGTTGAGGTAGCTCGGAAGGACTATGACAAACGAAGGGCAGAGTGTAAAGCAGAGATGAAGCTTTGCAAGCAGTTAATAAAGACTTTGAAGGCTGGTAGGGCAGGCACAGCAAATATTTCAGGGAGCATGAACGCCCACACACTTGTTAATGTGTTGCCCAGATTGCCCCAGCTGAATTTGCCAACGTTCGACAGAACCTTAACAGAGTACATTGCTTTCGGGGATCAGTTTAAAGCTCAGATAGATGACAGAGATGATTTGTCAAATGCCGTGAAATTACAGTATTTACGATCACAGCTCAAGGGTAAAGTCTTGGACTTGGTCCGTCATTACCAAACCACTGACACTAATTACCAACATGCCAAGGACCAATTAAAGGACATATTCGGCAACACTGAGGAGATAAAAGTAGCTATACTTTATCGGTTGTTGGACCTGGAGGCTTGTCAGAGCCTAGAGAAGTTCCAAATTGAAGTTTTGAGTTTGATAAATAGTCTTAAAGATTTACATGATTGGGTTAAGTCAGAATGGTTCATCAGTCAGGTGACTCAGAGGAAACTGGCTGGCACTACAGTGCATGAGTTACACTTAAAATATCGGACAAACCGGTTCACGATACAACAAACTGTTGAGGGGTTGGGAGATCTCGTTTCTCATTTGAGTATAGGTGTGAGAGAAGAGTCACCACCATCACCACATAAAAACACAGATAGTTACTCAAAGATCTCGGGAGATAAATTTAAAGCTCCTCAGACAAACGTTGGAGTGCACTATGGCAAAGAAGTGTCTAAAGCAAGAACCTTTAAGCAGAACCTCAGAGGCACTCGTGCCAGAATATGCGTGTTCTGTGAAGGTGAACACACTAGCACGAGTTGCTCAGAGTATACAACACTGAGCAGTAGGCAACGGAGACTAAAGGGGTTGAGACTCTGCTTCAAGTGTTGTGGGGAACACTTTGCCAGAGACTGTGACACCCAGCTCAATGAGTGTCGAGGCTGTTGGAAAGGTAAGCACCATACTGCACTATGTCCCAATAATTTAAGGAAACCCCAGGCTAGTAGGGATATCCCTCAGGTAGAGATAGAAAGTGAGTCTGAGCCTGAAGTGGTAGCCAACGTGATTAGTGGGAGTGAAGTCTCTAATCCGAGTGAGAATCACAGAGGTGCTGCCCTATCTACAGTCATGGGAGAGGTTGTGAATGGGCACAGGTCCAAAACAACCCAATTATTCTTTGACTCTGGAGCACAAATATCCCTGATAAC